TTATTTTTACGTGAGGATCGTCGTTTATCTCGCCACATCGATTTATCTCCCCACTAGGGATGGCGCATGTTTTTTGAAACACCCTGTATACCTACTTAAAAATTTCAAGCAACTTCAAAATAATGTACTTGTTTTGAGTGCATTTAAAAGTGCAGCATTAATAGGTACATACATTTTTTAACGATAAAAGTAAGCAAATGGCAAAAAAAGAAGGCAATGAAATGTTTTGACTCTATAAAAGAAATTTATTATTTCTAACCGCACTATAACAATAAAAGAACATTTTACATCATGAAGGCTATTGCGTGTGGAAAAATACAAAATATATAAATATAAATTACAAAAGGTAAACACAATACACAATACCGGGTAGGGTACAATAAAATTTAAGAAAAAAATATGTATTATTTGGAATTAGTTCAAAACTATTAAATAAATTGTTATCAAATTGTTATCAAATTGTTATCTAATTGTTATCAAATTGTTATCAAATTGTTATCAAATAAACCATATGCGAAAATGTCAAAAGTTGACATATGATATGTCATTCTATTCAGAGTGTTATTTTCTATCGAATAAAGTAAAAAAATACCGAGGGTGCCATTTAAAAATCAAAAGTTTTAGTCATTTCCGGTGAAACAGGAAGCGACCGAAAACAACTGAATTCGTCAATCAATCCTAATTTATGTTAGATACTAACATACCAAATCTCGTTTTTTAAATGAAAAAATAAAAAAGTTATAGGGGGTGAGCCACTTTTGAGACGCACCCGGTATATAGTTAAATTAACTAAGACTACTTACATTTCTATATTTCGATTTTTTTCTGATCTTTTTTTTATAATATATTTTTCAGCCAAATGATACAAAAAATAGATAAAATTTACGTATTTCTGATCTAAAATATTGTGAAAGGTTAGGCATGGTGTCCTTCACCATTCATTTTGGACCTTTACCTGCGACTCGTTTTGTTCAAGTAGATCGATTGAAGGAAAATACCCAATTAGTTACATAAAAGTAAATAGTATTATTTATACACCGAGAAAGCTTTGGTAATATTTAGTATATTTCTATACCAGCTGTATATAACTGTAGACCATAATAAATTAAATAAATAAATGTTTTTCTACGAACTATGGAAATAGCTTTGGTTTGTTTAAACATTCGGGTTACTTAATTTCAAATAGGCTGTCAACAACATTCAACAATTTTTTTTTGTTGATTTTTTTGTTTCCCCTCGAAATCTGCATTCGCCGTTGTTTCTCAGCTTCAGCCTTCTGAAGTGTTCGTTGAGGAGACAGTGTCTTGTTAGAAACCCCGTGATAATCCGAAGATTGTTTTTACTTAAATCAAGGAAAATATTTGATTTTTCTCGGTTGTAAGTTCTGAGGAACTTTTTCGAGTGTCTTGGAAAACAGAACGGTTCTCGTCTAGTTAGTGGCGTGTCCGCTCATTTTCTAGCTAGATCATTTGCTTTTATATTGCCTTCTATCCCTTGGTGAGCAGGCACGCAGAGTAGGAGAACTTTATTTTCTTTGCTTAATTTGTTGAGCTTCTCTAGGCATTCTTTGACCAACTTCGAATTGATGGTTACTGAGTTGATCGCGTTTAGTACTGCTTGACTTTAGGATAAGATCCAGAATGTCCTAAGACGGCAATAATCATTCCTCTGCATAAAGGAGGAGACAAAGATGAAGCTTCTAACTATCGCCCAATTCCACTCCTTCTAACGCTATCTAAGATCATAGAAAAGTTGGTTAAAAGAAGGCTGGTATCTTTTCTGTTTAAGTACAAAATACTTAGTGAATATCAATTTGGATTTCTAAGCAACAAGTCCACAAATAACGCTATGTTTTCCCTCCTTAATAAAGTTTACTCCAGCATAAACAACCATCATTCTACAGCAACAATTTTCTGTGATTTTTCTAAGGCGTTCCATTGTGTAAATCATAAGATCCTAATTAATAAACTGCAGCACTATGGGTTCAGGGGATCATCTCTCGAATGGTTTAAATCGTATCTGAGCAACAGAAGTCAACTTGTGAGGGTGGATACCACGTTGTCTTCTAGCAAGCCAATAGAATGCGGAGTACCACAAGGCTCAGTACTAGGCCCTATTTTGTTTCTTCTTTTTATTAACGACATTGTTAACATAAACATCAGTGGCAAAATATGTCTTTTTGCGGACGACACTAGCTTCACTTGGAGCAACAAGGACATCACGGCACTTCATAGGATTATATCAAATGACTTAATCACCATTAAATCTTGGTGCGATTCGAACCGCCTGAGTCTCAACATTTCTAAAACTAAAGCTTTGTCGTATAAAAACTCGTTGCAGCCTTTTGTACTTAACAACACCACCATTGACGTCGTCAAATCTGTAAAGATCTTGGGGCTTGTTGTGGACAATTCTCTGGAATGGGACATACATATCGAAGCTTTGTCGAAAAAATTGAGCTCTGCCTGTTTTGCATTAAGGTCTGTTTCTAAGGAGCTTAACTTGTCAGTTGCTAGAACTGTTTATTATGCACTTTTTGAGTCGCACCTCAGGTATGCCCTTCCATTCTGGGGTACGTGTTGTGCGACTCAATTTGCCATTTTCTGTCACTCATAGCCATTTTCTGTTATTGGACCTCAGAAGCTCTAAAAATCTGTAGGAAAAACCCCAAGGCATAAAGAAAGAAACTTTATGATGTCAGCTCAAACACGAAAAAAGGTCGGTTCTACACCATCTTGTAGAACGAAGAAAGTAGCAATGTAAAATTTATGTTGTTATATCTATTTAAATAGATACATAAAAAAATAGAAATTGAAACGGTAATATTCAGTTTTTTCAAAAATCTTCGGAGGTATTCGGGATTTTATAACTTTTACAGTGCCATTTTGATCAGCATTAAATTGAACATTTTGATCAGCATTAATTTTTCGACATCCCAAAGATGAGGCTCAAATTGAGACCCTGTACTTCCCCTGTAGGTAGTATGATTTTAAAGCTACTTTGAAGAGTTACTCTTCCACAGAAGTCAGATGACGACTAGAGCAATTTATTCTTCTACCATTATTAAAATAATACTAATAACTGGCTTATTTTTTTGTGTATGTATATTTCTATAATATTGTTGTAGATATCATGAAAATATACAGGTAATATACAGTACGTCTGTTCGTTCTGTAGCTACGGGGTATCCGTGAGAGGGGCAACGATATTTTCTCGATGTTTTTCGTAAAAAATTAGACTAAGCGTCCCATCAATAAAAATTCGACAAATTTGCAAGTAGCCAATAATAATCTCTCGGGGGAGGTCAAGTATCTAGGAATCACGCTTGATACCAAACTGACCTGGAACCGACATTTGGAAAATGTCACAAGGAGGGCGGTGACTACACTAGCGGTAGTCAGACGCCTTCATGGAAAAATCTGGGGCCTTAGACCACAGATGGTGCACTGGCTGTACACTGGAGTGGTGAGGCCTTCAGTAACATATGCATCCTTGGTATGGTGGCCTAAAATAATGCAACAAACAACAATGTTCAGCCTCAGCAAGGTGCAAAGACTTGCTTGTCTGAGCATAACAGGGGCGATGAAATCAACGCCCACTGCATCAATGGAGGCGTTTCTGGACCTTCCGCCTCTTCACATAGTGATCCAGGCGGAGGCAAGAATGGGACTCTATCGACAACAAAGTGTCTTGTCTCTGGGAAAAAGGACAGAAACAGGACACTCAAAGATGGGAAATCCTATCGGAGGACCTCTACTCCAAATGAGATCGGACCAAATGACCCCTCTTTATCACTACCACAAACCATTCGAGATGAACAAAATGGATGGAGGAATGTGGACAGATATAACATTCCTTCAGGATGGACTAACCTGGTATACAGACGGGTCAAAGACCGCTGAAGGAACAGGAGCTGGAATATTTGGGGAAAGACCAAGGGTAAGTTTATCCTTTTCCTTGGGTAAACACTTAACCGTATTCCAGACAGAAATTTTCGCCATTCTACAATGTGCGAGAGAAAACAATAGAAGAGCTTATTCAGATAAGCTCATCAATATATGCTCAAACAGACAGGCGGCACTTGGGGCGCTTATGAGCCCAAAGGTATCGTCGAGACTCGTCTGGGAATGCCTAGGTGAACTGGAAGCTATGGCTCGACGGAACAGAATTAAATTATTCTAGGTGCCGGGCCACAGCGGCATCCAAGGCAACGAAAAAGCCGATGAGCTAGCTAGGCAAGGATCATCGGCATCTTATCTTGGTCCAGAGCCAGTACTGGGAATACCCAAATGTATGGCCCGTAGTGCACTAAAACTCTGGATCAGGAAAAAGCAGAATGTCCACTGGAGAAACCGACACGGGCACAGGCACAGCAAGGCTTTTATCCAAGGACCTAGCTCCAAAACCGCAAAAGAACTGCTAATGCTTAGCAGGAATAAATTGCGGATTACAACAGTCCTCTTGACAGGACATATGGCTGTCAAGTGTTACCTGAACAAGCTCAATCTGTATCAAGGAAGTCTTTGCTGCAGACTTTGCGCTAAAGATCCTGAAACAGCGGAGCACATAATATGTCACTGCGAGGCTCTGGATCGCAAGCGACACTTTTTATTTGGGAAAGCTAGGCTAGAACCGGAGGAACTATGCTCCCATCCTATCAAGGACCTGCATAAGTTAGTGCAGGGCACAGGGATAGGAGAATGGGTACAGATATAGAAAGGGGACAAACACAATAGACCTCACAGGTCGCAGTGTTTCCGGCAGAGGACGGCCCCTTATTGTGGAAATAAAAGTAGCCAATAAAATGAGCGGGAGGAGCGATTTGCGGTGACGTACTCGTCAAGTCGACGTATAAAATATATTGTTGTTTATTTAAATGTTTTTGTCCGCATTCCTTTCATAGACACAGAGCCAGCAGATGTACTGTAAGTCTTTCAGATTCCAGTAACATAAAATTGAATGGACTGAATAATTTATTTCTAAGAAAAATATCTACTTACGCTGGTAGTCTTTTTCGTCAAATTTAGGTTTGATGTGGACTTCCTTGTCGTGAAAATCAAAGACCGTGGACACGACAGAGTCCATGGCGAAGACTTTGGCACATTCTTCGTCAAGCTGGACCTCGGAATCTCCTCCAGCACAGCCATTATTCTGAAAATAAAATACCAAATATGTCAAATAGAGTATTTGTGTGTTATAATGAATGTCGGAAATACAGTAAATGTGAATAATCTCTAGAAAATGTTAACAATTACGTATTGTAGAGGTGGACAAAGATTGAACTGGTCGTTCGTTTGAACGAGTATTAAAAATGAATACGTGTGATTCGATTCACTACTTAGAATACGGTTCGTTCAATTAAATCGTAGCCAGCACAGATCCATAAGAGTCGTGAGAATTGATTCATTGCTTGCAATACGGTTCGTTCAACTGAATCGTGGCCTGCAGGATCCATAACATTTGGACGATAAGCCGTAAAAAAGAGTCGTGAGAATTGAATCGGATCACAATGCGATCGTTCGTTCAAAGAATCGTGAGAATTGATTCATTGCTTCCAATACGGTTCGTTCAATTAAGTCGTGGCCAGCACGGATCCATAAGATTTGAACGATGAGTCGTAAAAAAGAATCGTGAGAATTAAATCGGATCACAATGCGATCGTTCGTTCAAAGAATCGTGAGAATTGATTCATTGCTTCCAATACGGTTCGTTCAATTAAGTCGTGGCCAGCACGGATCCATAAGATTTGAACGATGAGTCGTAAAAAGAATCGTGAGAATTAAATCGGATCACAATGCGATCGTTCGTTCAAAGAATCGTGAGAATTGATTCATTGCTTCCAATACGGTTCGTTCAATTAAGTCGTAAGCCAGCACGGATCCATAAGATTTGAACGATGAGTCGTAAAAAAGAATCGTGAGAATTAAATCGGATCACAATGCGATCGTTCGTTCAAAGAATCGTGAGAATTGATTCATTGCTTCCAATACGGTTCGTTCAATTAAGTCGTGGCCAGCACGGATCCATAAGATTTGAACGATGAGTCGTAAAAAAGAATCGTGAGAATTAAATCGGATCACAATGCGATCGTTCGTTCAAAGAATCGTGAGAATTGATTCATTGCTTCCAATACTGTTCGTTCAATTAAGTCGTGGCCAGCACGGATCCATAAGATTTGAACGATGAGTCGTAAAAAAGAATCGTGAGAATTAAATCGGATCACAATGCGATCGTTCGTTCAAAAGAATCGTGAGAATTGATTCATTGCTTCAATACTGTTCGTTCAATTAAGTCGTGGCCAGCACGGATCCATAAGATTTGAACGATGAGTCGTAAAAAAGAATCGTGAGAATTAAATCGGATCACAATGCGATCGTTCGTTCAAAGAATCGTGAGAATTGATTCATTGCTTCCAATACTGTTCGTTCAATTAAGTCGTGGCCAGCACGGATCCATAAGATTTGAACGATGAGTCGTAAAAAAGAATCGTGAGAATTAAATCGGATCACAATGCGATCGTTCGTTCAAAGAATCGTGAGAATTGATTCATTGCTTCCAATACTGTTCGTTCAATTAAGTCGTTAGTCCTTTTGGATCCATAAGATTTGAACGATGAGTCGTGGCCAGCACGGATCCATAAGATTTGAACGATGAGTCGTAAAAAAGAATCGTGAGAATTAAATCGGATCACAATGCGATCGTTCGTTCAAAGAATCGTGAGAATTGATTCATTGCTTCCAATACTGTTCGTTCAATTAAGTCGTGGCCAGCACGGATCCATAAGATTTGAACGATGAGTCGTAAAAAAGAATCGTGAGAATTAAATCGGATCACAATGCGATCGTTCGTTCAAAGAATCGTGAGAATTGATTCATTGCTTCCAATACGGTTCGTTCAATTAAGTCGTGGCCAGCACGGATCCATAAGATTTGAACGATGAGTCGTAAAAAGAATCGTGAGAATTAAATCGGATCACAATGCGATCGTTCGTTCAAAAGAATCGTGAGAATTGATTCATTGCTTCCAATACTGTTCGTTCAATTAAGTCGTGGTCAGCACGGATCCATAAGATTTGAACGATGAGTCGTAAAAGAATCGTGAGAATTAAATCGGATCACAATGCGATCGTTCGTTCAAAGAATCGTGAGAATTGATTCATTAACTTCCAATACTGTTCGTTCAATTAAGTCGTGGTCAGCACGGATCCATAAGATTTGAACGATGAGTCGTAAAAAAGAATCGTGAGAATTAAATCGGATCACAATGCGATCGTTCGTTCAAAGTCGTGAGAATTGATTCATTGCTTCCAATACGGTTCGTTCAAATTGGTCGTGGTCAGCACGGATCCATAAGATTTGAACGATGAGTCGTAAAAAAGAATCGTGAGAATTAAATCGGATCACAATGCGATCGTTCGTTCAAAGAATCGTGAGAATTGATTCATTGCTTCCAATACGGTTCGTTCAATTAAGTCGTGGTCAGCACGGATCCATAAGATTTGAACGATGAGTCGTAAAAAAGAATCGTGAGAATTAAATCGGATCACAATGCGATCGTTCGTTCAAAGAATCGTGAGAATTGATTCATTGCTTCCAATACTGTTCGTTCAATTAAGTCGTGGTCAGCACGGATCCATAAGATTTGAACGATGAGTCGTAAAAAAGAATCGTGAGAATTAAATCGGATCACAATGCGATCGTTCGTTCAAAGAATCGTGAGAATTGATTCATTGCTTCCAATACGGTTCGTTCAATTAAGTCGTGGTCAGCACGGATCCATAAGATTTGAACGATGAGTCGTAAAAAAGAATCGTGAGAATTAAATCGGATCACAATGCGATCGTTCGTTCAAAGAATCGTGAGAATTGATTCATTGCTTCCAATACGGTTCGTTCAATTAAGTCGTGGCCAGCACGGATCCATAAGATTTGAACGATGAGTCGTAAAAAAGAATCGTGAGAATTAAATCGGATCACAATGCGATCGTTCGTTCAAAGAATCGTGAGAATTGATTCATTGCTTCCAATACGGTTCGTTCAATTAAGTCGTGGTCAGCACGGATCCATAAGATTTGAACGATGAGTCGTAAAAAGAATCGTGAGAATTAAATCGGATCACAATGCGATCGTTCGTTCAAAGAATCGTGAGAATTGATTCATTGCTTCAATACGGTTCGTTCAATTAAGTCGTGGCCAGCACGGATCCATAAGATTTGAACGATGAGTCGTAAAAAGAATCGTGAGAATTAAATCGGATCACAATGCGATCGTTCGTTCAAAGAATCGTGAGAATTGATTCATTGCTTCCAATACGGTTCGTTCAATTAAGTCGTGGCCAGCACGGATCCATAAGATTTGAACGATGAGTCGTAAAAAAGAATCGTGAGAATTAAATCGGATCACAATGCGATCGTTCGTTTTTACGGCGCTGGCGCGGCGGTGATATAGGCATAGAGTCAGGCACTAATATTTAAGACTTGAATAAAAGCCCTAAACAAACATCATGGGCATAAAAAACAAACGATAAGAATGTTATTTACAAGAAAAAACTTATTTATACTGTGCTTAGTATGGAAGAATCTGTAAGGTATTTAATTTTTACATTAATATTTTTATTAAAATAATATTCTCGACTATAAATCATTCAATGTCGGACTCAAAGACGAAATCGTGTTTTTATGCAACTCCAAATAAATATTGTTGGCCTATGCTCAATAGATAAAATGTAAATCGCTGTCATTTTATATGTAAAATTATATGGGCAATGTCATCGATGTTCATTTCCAAGCCAACTAGATGCCATTTTTTTTCGATCATGCGGATTTTTATATTATTTATTATACAGGGTTGTTCACCACATACGACACGGAGTATGGTAGCTAAACGATTAGATTTTTACAAATTGTAAGTTCTGGGTTCGTTGAAGGACTATTAGAGCTACAATTTAAAAATATTTTTACAAGATACAGAGTGTCCCAAATAAGTTAAAAATATTATAGTTGTATTTTTTTAAATGGAACACCCTCTATATTATTCTATTTTTAGATTCTACGATTGAAATAAAGGTAAATTTGACTAAGGTTTATCACACTACCGTTTTTGGGAATATTTTCAATTTTATGAAATTGCACTAAAAATTTTAAGACTTTATTTCTCCAAGGGTATCAAAGTTTTTAATACTAAATATTTACTGAAGATTATTTATTGATCAGATATTGTGTTGCTATAATAAAAAATTTACTACCTTATACAGAGTGTTCAAAAATTTATATTAAATAATTACTAGCTTTAAACGGCAATAACTTGTTTAATTTAAATGGAACACCCTATATATTTTATATGAATCACATGCACAATGTAATTGTCTATCAAATTGTAATATACCATTTTTTATCTATCTCTTCAAGTTTTTGTAGAAAATGCATTTTCTTATAATTTAGACCTCATTTATCACTATACCCATGAAATATTGACATTTTAGATTATTTTTAAAGATGTAACAAATTTTCAAAGAGTACAGATACTAATATTGTCGATATAGTTCGCTTATTTCATTAAAAAAAAACTGTTTAAATATTTTTTGTTAACAAGGACCAATTAATATGATCCCAGCATTCGAATGCTTATTTATAAAAACAGAAACGTTCATCTTCATAACTTATTATTATATTGATTCTGAGCCAAATTCACACACACATTTATTTAGAATACTTGAGGTCTAAATTATAAGAAAATGCATTTTCTACGAAAACATGAAGAGATGGGTAAAAATGGTATAATACAATTTGATAGACAATTATATTGTGCATCTGATTCACCTAAAATATATAGGGTGTTATATTTAAATTAAACAAGTTATTGCCGTTTAAAGCTAGTAATTATTTAATATACATTTTTGGACACTCTGTATAAGGTAGTAAAATTTTTATTATTGCGACACAATATCTGATCAATAAATAATCGTCAGTAAATATTTAGTATTAAAAACTTTGATACCCTTGGAGAAATGAAGCCTTAAAATTTTTAATGCAATTTCATAAAATTGAAAATATTTAAAAAACGGTAAGGTTTAAGTGTGATAAACCTTAATCAAATTTACCTTTATTTCAATCGTAGAATCTAAAAATAGAATAATATACAGGGTGTTCCATTT